ATAAATAAAGGAGTGTTGCATCTATTTATTTCATGTTATATTTATTTATTTCATGGGATATTTGGCCCTCAGGCGTCACATGGTAATGATTTTGTAAACCATCTCGCAACCCTCCCCTTTCAGAAGCCCTGGTCTAGAGGTCAGTATCAGGTGTCTTTGCCAGACCTACCAGGTTGAGACACAGGAAGTAGAAGATCTGCCTGGAGTCGTACTCCTCCAGAATCTGTTTCAGTGAATCTTTGATGAATCGAGGGAGAGACTGCGATGTGTGCTGCAGGGCGTCCCCCATAAAGTTGTACAGTGGGGTCCCTTCAGGAGAATAACCCACCAAGGTCCCCTTCTGCCCCTTCTTCGATGGAGACGAGAGAATACTGGATGCTGCAGGGGAAAGACATTTGTCATAAAGATGAAGTGAGGTGTAATGGGTTTTATGTCTCTCTCTGTTACCTACCCATGATGAAAAAGATGGCGCTGACTATCACACCGCCGGAGAGCACGTGTTCTGTGCTGACCTGCTGCGCTGGTTTGCTCATGGAGCGCAGCTGATCCGTCAGTGGGTGTGTCCAGAAATTAGCCAGCAGCACCGCGCTCAGAAACAGGGCGAAGGAGCCGTAGCGGGCGCACCTGGGCGCCTCCATCTTGGCGCTGCAGATGGATTCCACGTAGAACTCCAGGATCATGACGGAGAAAATGATCATCCCAAACGGGAAGATGAGGGAGGACCAGGAGTCAACTTTGCTCTGTGGAAAAAAAAATATGTAGAAACTTTAGATGGAAATTCCCAGGAACAGAGAAATGATCACAAACACCATTTAAATAATGTCTAATAAAAATTGTTAAACATTATTTAAAATGCTTCATAAAGCAGATCTACACAGAAATGAGAGGAGTAGGTCAAAAAATAAATGAAAACCTGAAGGAAAATTAAATAAACCTAAAAATTTTGTATGCTACAATAAATTAATTGTTTATTGGATGACTTATGATTGTACGGAAGAGGATTAGGGCAACTGAAAAAAAAAAAAAAGTTAACTGATTTTTAAATTTTATTTCAG